AAAAATATCTTGCATTATAGTAGCTAGGATGGATAGTAAGTAGTGATTCACAGGAAGTATTTATTTGATACTAAAGGAGGCATTTTAAATGTAGACTTACTTTGGAAGTTAGTATTTCCAGCACCATAGAGAAGCTAAATAAAAAGGCTCCAGTACACCATACCTGGGCAGAGTGATACATAGAGATAGGGAAGAAGAGTAGCCAAAGATTGCAGCAGCCTAGGAATGAAGGCAGACAAAAAAACCTCAAAACCACATAGAATGAGCCCTTCTCTTAGAAATAAGTGATTAGCAGTATTTTTCAGAACACATTAGAATAAGACTGTATATGCCTAACTCACAAAAAATAGACTCTCAAGGTAAATTATGAAAACGTGTTAAAATAATATAGACTTTGAAATTAATGGATTTTGGTATGAACACTAGCTTCATTTTTAGGAGTGGTGTGGATTTGATCAAATTATTTAATGTCTCTGAGTTCATTTCTTTGCATTGAAATGGAGATGGTAATACCCAGTTCAGAGTTATTGTGAAGATTAAATGAGATATTGCTTGTATAACTTTTTGCCACATGGCTAAAACATGAATAATATACACTAAATATTGACTGTTATTCATATCCTAGTAAGAGCCTGAGTAATAACAGAAAATGTATGCCAATAAATGTTTTGTACCAAAAATATGCTATATTAGCCCAAGAGACAATGAGTAGAAGCAAGGAAAAGAGGAAACCAAAGAGAATCTTGATAGAGACTTTTTTATTTTTGTTGGTCGTCTTAAGTGGAGGTGCGTCCACTTACTTAAAATGTATGAGACAATTACTAGGCATAACGGCAGTAGATTTCTGGATGGAAGTAGAAATATACCAGCCACGAAGTAAAATCTGGATGTTGTCAGGGAAGTTTTCACAGAGGAGCCCTAAACAGGCATAAGCCCAAACCTGGAAAACAAGGTACAGGTACTGACAGAGGATGTTCTCTGTACTTAGGAAAACCTGGTGTGTACCGCAGTTCTACTCTGTAGTTCAGTAGCTGTGCAATCCACCACAAACTAGATAATCTTTGAGATTCTATGTCATGATCTATAAAATACATGTAATATATTGGCTACATCGTAAGATGGCCATGAGTTTTGATTAGGGTAATGTTTATAAAGCCCTTAGCACAAACATTGGTATGTAGTAAGTATTGGACGGGTATTAACTAGTTCGATTATAAGTTATTAAGATGAAGTTGGGCAAAATTATAGCAATCTATGGCCTTGATTCTTTCACTTCCAGCATTACAAATGGCAAAAGTTTCTCACTGAGAATTTCCAGACACTTTTTAGGATCTGCTCATATTTCATGGGTGCTTAGAACCAATCTCTCATGATACTTTCACAGCTTAACAATTCCACTATAAATTGGAATTTAGTCCTTTGTGATCATGGAGTAACCTTGGAAAATAGCTGATTTCAGAAGCAAAAATAGACCCATGTTTAATAAATCAATCTGGGCTGTGTTTCTAAGATTATACCTGAGAGGAAAGAGGACGCTTTGGTTCCAGCAGCCTTATCAAGGGCATTGTTGTCCACTTAATGGAAATGTAATTGCTCCTCATTCCTCTTTTCTCATTAAGTCAATCTCACGGCTTGGAAGCCTCATAGTAGTGATCTACAAATTTATAAGCAAAAGTGTCTCTTGCTGAGCTGAGAGGCCACTAAAGCCCAGATGCATTGCTCACTCCTGAGTGCTATATGTAATCCTCACATTAAATAATGTGCAAAAACTCCCAGGAAGCTGTTGGTTTTGAAGGCATAAAAAACAAAGGAAAAATTTTTACCCCATACCTTCACCCTCTACAGATGACAGCTAATGGAGCAGCTATCCAACTAGAAATGTTAATAACTACCTTCTCTTTTACCAGCTGTGTTTTACGTGCATTAGTTAATTTAATCCTCACTACTAACAATGCACTAATTATCATCTCCATTTTATGGATGAGGGAATTAAATCTCAGAGAGGTTAATTGACTTGCTCAAGGCCACACAGGTGGTAAATGTCTATGCTTAAAAGCCTGTGTTGTTAGGTCTTACGTGCTTAAATAAGATTGTCAGGAGCAGAGATACCTATATTTCAGAACAGGGATTGGCAAACATTTTCTGAAAAGGACTTCACCGTAAATATTTTAGGCTTTGCATGCCATTTGATATCTGTTTCAACTACTCAGCTCTGCCTTTGTGGGGTGAAAGCAGCTGTAGACAATACAGAAATGAATGGCTTGGCTATGTTCCAACAGAACTTTATTTATAAAAACAGGCACTGGGCTGATTTTTCCCACAGAATGTAGTCTGTCAATCCCTGTTATGAAATATTAAGCTATTTTTGGGGAAACTGGTGATTCAATGATAGAGGCAGGAGGCAGAGAAATTCTAGGCAGATTGGGGTGGGGCCCTGGCAAAACTCCAGCTTTGAGCTAAAAAACTTGAAATCTGTGGTCCAAAGTAAGAACTTCTTTCCCTGTATGCCTGCTCTGTACCAATTGGTTCTTTCTCAATAATGCTTTTTACCAATCAAATGTTGCCTTTTCCAAAGATACCTGCGGCTCACCCTGCCCCCAACCTGTGCCTATAAAGACCCCAGATTCAGCTGGCACAGGGGATAAGTGGCTGGACGTAGGGAAGGAGCAGCTGGATATTGAAGAGAGGTACCTTGACTTAAGAGATGGGGGCTGGATGAGGCAAAGAGGTGGCTTGACTTCAAGGGAGAGTAAACTACCCTTCCCATCCCCTTTCTGGCTCCCCTCTCTACTGGCCACTGCTTTCATCACTCAATAAAATTTTCCACATTCACCATCCTTCAGTTCATCTGAGTGACTTCATTCCTTTGGGGCACCAGACAAGAATTTGGGATGTGTCAACTGCAGGTACCCAAAAAGGCTGTCACACCATCCTTTTGCCCTCACTGACAAACGGCAGCCACACCAGACAACGAGGCAAAGGGTCCACTGTGCTGATAGCACACTGCTGTCTGTCTGTGGATGGCGCAGCTAAGAAAGTACTGTAACATGCCCTCTGGGGCCTTGGGGTCATAGGCATCCCCACCTGGAGGCTGCTGTGGGACTTGCACGGAACTCGCTCCTGACTGCGCTAAAGTGGCCAGTTTCTGCACTCGCTAGCATGCTCCCTTCCACGAGGGGTGGAGAGCCGCGGACCCGAGTAAGCAGAGTTTGCTTCTGCCAGTACCAAAGCGGCTGGCTGGTTCCTGCATTCATTCACTCACACGCTACCCCCCAAGAAGGGTTGAGCAGGGCGGGCTGGGTAAACAGTGCACCTGTCGCAAGTCCTGTGAAGGCATCAAGACAATACTGTGCATCACTAGGATTCTAATTATGAATTGCCACTAACCCTTTACTTGACTTTGGGCAAGTCATTGTACTTTGGGGGACTTTAGTTATCATCTATAAAATAAGTTAAATCATTAATGTTTCTCAAAATGTGGACCATAAATCAATAACACTAATAATATGTAGGCTTCCCAACAGCAGAGATTTAGCTGTTTTGTTTAATGAGAAATCTCCTGGAACCTATGAGAGTGTCTGGCATATGAAAAGTGCTCAGATATTGGCTGGATTAATAAACAAACTAAATGAAATAATATGTGTCTAGATTTCAGACCTAAGATCAAACACCAAGTAACTGCTCTGCCATGAACTGTAGTCACCATTAGTAGCTTCTGGCATCCTCATCTATTTAGAGTGACCATTCACTGTGTTGTCTAAACCACACAATTTTTGAAGTAAAAAGATCACTATTAATAATTACAGCAGGACAACAGGCATTACCAAGGCCTGGCCCAACCATGCTGGACCACAAAGCCAGTTTATATCTATTTGTACCCCAGGTTAATTTCTACCATGCGCCCACATACCTTTGTAAAAACCACTGAAGCTTTCCAGCCTTTGCACACCCAGGCACTGCCTTCAGAAGGAGCACTAGAAAGATGAAAACTGAACGTTTTAGCATTTACCTGTGAAAGGTGAGCTACTTAGCCATCAGAGAAATGCAAATCAAAACCACAATGAGATACCATCTCACACCAGTTAGAATGGCGAGCATTCAAAAGTCAGGAAACAAGTGCTGGCAAGGATGTGGAGAAATAGAAACACTTTTACACTGTTGGTGGGACTGTAAACTAGTTCAACCATTGTGGAAGACAGTGTGGTGATTCCTCAAGGATCTAGAACTAGAAATACCATTTGACCCGGCCGTCCTATTACTGGGTATATACCCAAAGGATTATAAATCATGCTGCTATAAAGACACATACACACGTATGTTTATTGCAGCACTATTCACAATAGCAGAGACTTGGAACCAACCCACATGTCCATCAATGACAGACTGGATTAAGAAAATGTGGTGCATATACACCATGGAATACTATGCAGCCATAAAAAAGGATGAGTTCATGTCCTTCATAGGGACATGGATGCAGCTGGAAACCATCATTCTCAGCAAACTATCGCAAGGACAGAAAACCAAACACCGCATGTTCTCACTCATAGGTGGGAGTTGAACAATGAGAACACTTGGACACAGGGTGGGGAACATCACACACTGGGGCCTGTCCTGGGGTCAGGACGGGGGGAGGGATAGCATTAGGAGATATACCTAATGTAAATGACAAGTTAATGGGTGCAGCACACCAACGTGGCACATGTATACATATGTAGCAAACCTGCACGTGATGCACATGTACCCTAGAACATAAAGTATAATTAAAAAAAAATAATAAAATAAAATAAAATTTTAAAAAAGGTGAGCTACTTGAAAAACACAGTTTACAATCAAAAGTAGCTACAATACTTTTAATTAAGAAGTTAAAAATCTCTTCCATACCCAATAATACAGCAGGATGCTGGCTCAACAAAGCAAAATAGGTCAGTTATATAAAGTCAAGAAGATGCATTTACTCTTCTCTTCTGAGTACTCATATGTAAATTTCTGATCCTCTACAGTTCTTTCTGGCTGTGAGAGTCTGTGATCTTGGCAAGTGATAGACCCCTATGACCAATGAATCACAACTTAAATGAGTACCAAGTTCCCAGCTGATCTGTGAAAAGGAGCTCAGTGAGAGGTACTTATGTCCTTCGTGTACTTAAAATATTGTCCTTAATGAATAAGTCTGGTGTGTTCATTTTTATTACAAAAGTAGCAGACCTATCTTACTTTCAATATTACAAGGACAATGCTTGCAAAGATGAACAGAGGACGTTTAAAGATACAGGGTGTGAAAGCTTCCGAAAGCCACATAGTGAGAGAGATTAAAACAACTTGAAAGAATTTGATTTCAAAGGCAAGATCATATCTGAAGCATTTCTCAACACTGTTTAAAGCACAAAAATAAAGAGAAACAAAACTCCTTGGAGAAGTTTCTGCTCAATACCCAAGACCCTTAGTGAACGTTCCCAATAGCAATCAATGAACCCCTAACAAGTGCTGTAAGGACTGGGGCAGTGGGAACAACACAGACCATTCGCTCTGATTCAGCGATTTTTATGAGCACCATTAAGTGAAGATGGGCAAGTAACTATGTGGCTCAGGGCAAAGCCCCCACAGCTTTGTGATGAAAAATCTCAGTAAGAACCCATGAAAGAGAACCCTTCAAATCAAATCAAACAAATGTGGATCTGCTGGGGGAAAGGGCCTTGTTTTTCATTTAAAATAATCTTTTAAAGAGTGGACAATAATCCAAACACCTCTGGAATACTGTATCTTCTAGGAGAATACTGAGTTTGATAAAAATATTTAAAGAAGAAATTTTAGGTAAATTTACCTTCAAATAGCTTAGGCACCTTGGACCAAAGTTTGCGCATTCTACAAATATTGACACAATAACACCATTTAAAATCTTTACCACTATTTGTTGAGTTATGTCAAATGTAACTTAGGATAAAAAGTTGTTCAGGTAAGTGATTGGTACATTTGGAATTTATAGATTAAAAATTTATTACAAGGAAATAAAAGTTTTTCTTACCTAACCTCTTAATAATTTTCCAGAGAAAATGTGTAATGTGTCCCTCACTCTGCCCTTCACTCTAGTGTTTTCTTTTGCATTATGGATACATTTCTTTTAATTTTCTTCATATAACTTTTCATGTGTACTCTTGAGATTGCCTATTGCTTCAACAATCTTTGTCCAGCTGCTAACTTCTTTCTTAAAATAATTTTCCTGCCCCCCTTCCTTCAATAGTAATCAATCTCTACCACCACCTCTATTAATTCTGTCACTGATTTTGTGATAAAGCTTCAGAAACACTGACGTAACTCGAAGGTAGTTTTTGTTGTTGTGTGAATCTGCTTGATGCCAACTTATGGTTGGCTTTAATGCTCAGAAATACAAGCAATGATTAGACAGTACAAGGAGTTGCTAGTTTAATGTAAGGAAGAACATTTGCATCCTTCTCACTTACTGTGTTTACTTTATATTCCACGTTACAAGGAGTCACTTCAGCATGAACACCAAGCCATCTTAAGTTTATTAAGAACCTAGTAATGTTTAAGCACTGTGTTATGTGAATATAGAATGATGATGAAGTATCCCTCCCACTTTGGAATTTACATTCAAGTATAAGAAATATCTGTTAATCAATTTCTTTCTGGAATATTACAGATGGTAGAGTCTGTTTCAACTTTGGGTGGAGGGCTTAACACATTCTTTAATACAATAAATCAACATTACTGAGAAACAAAGTAATTATAAGAACCGTTCTAATTCTAGGAATCAGTGATCTTATATCAGTCATATGGAATGAGGTAAAAGTGCATGCTTCATGTTATGTTACTTTCTTTTGCTTGAGAATGCTAAATTTGGAAAATATATAATATGACGTACTTGTGACAATTGAATTGTAAGAGATTTTATCTGATATTGCTTTAGAAAACAGAAATAATTGCTTCAAAGGATAAAGGATAGAAGGTTCTGATAAAGCTTGCTTACTTTTTGCGGGGAGGCATGGGGGGAAATGTCTCAGTGCCCAAGGTCAGTGGCCTTCCTGACTGAAGACTTTCCCAGAGTAGAGGGTAAGAGTGGGAACAGGAATATCAGTTTAAAGTCATCTTCATAATATTCTGGTGAGTGACTGATTCCTTCAGAAGCAAACAGGCACATGGTAAAAATATTGGTAATGTGACTGTAGTGTTGTTACTGTCATTTTTTTCTTTATTAACTATGATATTGCTTACGGATAGCAGTCAGAGTAGTAGTATATTTATAATCATGAACCTCTTAGGGTTGCTGGTTTGGTGTTTCAAAGTTTTTCAGTCATCCATATTAAACTTTTAAAGATATCTTGTGTGAAAATCCAATTCAAATTATGTAGAATTAAGATATTATATTATTTAGGATAAACAAATTAAGTGTGTTTGTCATGATTCTGTAAGTTGATCTTATTTGCTATCAGGTATTTTAATTCATGAATGCAGTGTGATAATATTTGTTAAAAATAATAGGCACATATATTTCCATTGTATTTAAATTATGATCTGGCCTATTCAAAATTAACATAGATTGATTTTGACCGAAGAGGTCTAGAAAGCAAGACCTTTTAGAAGAGAAGTGGAAAACAGAGTCATTTCGTAGTTTCATTCTGCTACCCAAGATGAAGCTGGGTCACAGATTGCTGTAGACATTTTAAAATAACTCCGTGGATCCCTCCCCTTCCACCCACTTTTCTCTGCTATATCCACAGATAATTCTCTACATATTTATAGTTCGAGAGGGGGAAATGACTCTCCAAGAGTTAACTTCAGTTACACATTGGTGGGCCGTAACTGTGCTCTGAGTGCCAGTGAGAACTGTATGTCAAAAATGCCACCTTCTCTCTTATTAATGCTGACTTAGCAAAAACAGGGAATTTAGAGCAAGTCAGAATTCTTGTTTCACTGTCCTATTTTCAGTAAGAGAAGGAATTTAGGACAACTTAGAATTTTTTCTCCTGCCCTATTTTATTGCATGTATGTGTATTCATATTCAGCAAAAAGAATCCCAATGTTAGCCTTTGGTGTCTTCATGTCCAAACAGTATTTTCCCAATTCATTTAATTTTTTTATTTAAAATTAATATATCTGGCTAAAGACATTAGAAAAATTGTATCAACTGAACAAAATTTTTAAATGACTCATGGTTCCACTGGCAAAGGAATAAACTCGGCTTTGAGTAAACTCTTGAAATGTTCCTTTGAAATATGCTTAGTCTTTAATGTTCATTTGATTGATTGTGATCATAATACATATATAAGTTTGCTTCTTTATTATTCATTTTTATATCACAAACTCTTTTCTCATTATTATAAATTTTATGGTAATAATATTTTAGATAATTTCTAACCTATGGTAGGAATGTCCCTAGTTTATTTGACCTCTATATGTTAAACATTCATTCTCTTTTAAAGTCTTATGTGTTACAGTGATATGTTGTTTCTAATTTTTGTCTTCCTTCCATTTGTATTAATTTAGCAGAAAATAAACTTCCAGAAATAAAATCAATTTCTTAATTTTAGGAGTATTTATAGGCTGTAATGTAGAGTATATTTGGATACATATATTGGTTAGAAATTTAAAGAGCAGTAAAAATAAAAATGATTCTGATTCTATACATACACATTCTAACCCTATCATTTTAACCCATTTGACTATAATTCCATGCTCCTTCTCTAAATAGCATATCATCAAAATGTAATGCAAACACACATTTCCAATCTTGTGACAATGTAGATTCTGCTTCATTTGGTCCGGGGTAGGGTCTGAGAATCTGCATTCCTGATAAGCTCCTGGAGTATGACTGAACTAATACACTTGCCCCAGAGTTCCTATTAGAACCATAGTGCAAAAGACATTCCATAGAGTGTGAATATAGGATGTATCTATATTTTTCTCCATGTAATCAAAATTTTACATGTCCTTCTACCCTGTCTGCATTATTAAATCTATCATTCATCATTTATACCATCTTTTTAAAGTTATACTCCCTGAAATTAGCAGTTATTTATATAACCTCCCAATGTCCTTGACTGAATTTATTCCGTGCAGGTTTGCCTAATTTTAATAGGGTTTAAATTCAGGCAAGGTAGCAGGTTTATTAAAATCTCCATGAATTCACATCTATTTAAAATTGGATATAATTTATTTTGTTAATTTTTACAATTATAAAGTTTTTAAGCTTAAAAATGACCCACAGTGCCTACAGAGGGAGGAGAGTGGAAGGAAGGAGAGAATCAGGAAAAGTAACAAATGGGTACTAAGTTAAATACCTGGATGATGAAATAATCTGCACAAAAACCCCCATGACACATTTACTTATGTAAGAAATCTGCATATGTACCCCTGAACTCAAAATAATTAAAAAAAAATACTCACACAGTTAATACCAACTCCTGTATTGACTCTCAAATTACGCAAGTCGTGCTTTGTTGGCCAAGAACATTGGACTGAGTCCTTCTCACTCTACCATCTCACTGTTCTCTGTCTTCTGCCTCCCTGTTCTATTTACAACGACCGTTGTGATTCTATCCAGGTAATCCAACCAAACCTATTTAATATTTAAGTTTAGCTGATTAGTAACCTTAACTCTGTCTGCTACCTCAATTTTCCTTTGTCACATAACCTGATTTTGAAAGTTCCAGGAATTAGCACCTGGGCATCTTTGGGGGGCTTATTCTTCCTTTCACAGTCATAAACTAGTATCCTTTTATATGCTTCTGAAAATGAATTTCTAATACATATAAGAATATGTGAGTCTGTGATTATAAGGGGTCTTATTCTATAATTTTATTCTCTTATGATATCTTTGTCAAATTTTAATTTTAGGGTTATACTAACTTCATAAAATAAGTGTGGTACTGGTATACCTATTCTATTTATTTAAAATATTTTTGCAAGTGTGGCATTATGTCTTCCTGAAATGTTTGATGTAATTTACCAGTGAAACTATTCTGGCCCAGAAGTTTTTCAGGTGCATGTTTTTAATAACAGATTCAAAACTGTAATTTTACAGAGATATATTCAAATATTCCCTTTCCTTTGGGAGTCACTTTTGGTAAGTTTTTCTTTAAGGAATTTGTTGATTTTATTTAAGCTGTAAAATTAGTATATAATTTTTTAATAATATTTTCCTGAAATGGTGAGACAAAGCAGTCCCCCCATCCAACACATTTATCACTGAAGCAATCTGCACACATCAAAATCTGTTCCTTTCTTTTGGAAATTCCCAAGCATTTCGGGATTAACAAAAGTGACCAAGATAGAAATAAAACACCGTATAACAAAAGCATATTTTAAGATGTAATGAATGATGTGTGTGTGTGTATATATATATACACGTATATATATGTATATATGTGTGTATATATATACACACACACACTGAATTTTCAGGATTTTTTCCTGAAATTTCAGGATTTTTCCTATAGTTTACTTTTTTTTTTACCTTTTGAAAATGGTAATTATTTGCCTGTTATCAATCTTGTTTTTTAGCATTTGTTATTTTCATAAAACTTTATTTTTAGTAGAGATGGGGTTTCACCATATTGGCCAGGTTGGTCTTGAACTCCTGATCTAAAGTAGCTGGGTGTGGTGGCACGCACCTGTAGTCCCAGCTACTCAGGAGGCTGAGGCAGAAGAATCACTTGAACCCAGGAGGTGGAGGTTGCAGTGACGCGAGATTGAGCCACTGCACTCCAGCCTGGGCAACAGAGCGAGACTCCGTCTCAGAAACAAACAAACAAACAAACAACTTTATTGAATTATAGCCTACATACAGAAAATTCTGTACTTCTTAAGTGAATAGACATATGAGCAGTCATGTCACAAAAAGAAGACACCTGTGAAGACAGAACCTTAATCAAGAATCAGAACATTCCCAGTTCTCCAAAAGTTCCATTTTGTCCTCCCTCCTGTTACTGTCTCTTATGCCCAAAGGTAACCTGAATTCCAATATCTTAGGCTATAATTAAACATTACATAAGTGAAAGGATATTGTACATACTCTTTGTGTCTGCTTTCTTTCTACGTTTTATTTAATAGATTAATGCACATCGTGTATAGACATAGTAGTAGTTCTTTTGTTCTCAGTGTTGTGTAGTATTTTGTTATATATGATGTTTTATTCATATATTTGACTATTGATAGAGTTTCTCTCATCATATCAATAAATAGGCAGAATCTGTGAGATACATGCAACCACAGACACGGAAATTAGAAGATGAGGTATAAATCTAATGCTCACAATTTTCACATGACCTTGGATAAATCACTAAATCTTTTCCTAGCACTTATTCAATCATATCTAGCTCAGAAATTGATAAAGAAAATTTAACAAGATAAATCACATATTGAAAACACTTCAGATTCTTACTAATATGCATAGAAATTGAGTATCCCTGATCCCAAAACCTGAAATCCAAAATGTTCCGAAATCCAAAACTTTTGAGCACCAACATGACACTCCAAAAAAAATGATCATTGGAGAATTTTAGATTTAATATTTTTGGATTAGGAATGCCGAGTAAAAATGTTCCAAAATCTGAGCCAATATGAAATTAAAACACTTCTGGTCTCAAGCATTTCAGATCAGAGATATTCAACCTGTGCTTAGCTACTATCATCATTATTTTCATTTTTGATAAAATTAGTTTATGACTGGAGAGCTGAACTTTTTCTGTCTCAGATTTTGCCCTGCCTCTAAAATAAATAAGTGGAAACAAATGGTTAAGTGATTTCCAAAACGTGAAGTCATTATCTTCTCTCTGTCATTTGCTAATACCATAGTAATTTATCAAAATCATAGGAATAAACATCCAATGTTCTTGTTATGAATGAAATTTCTGAAGTTTTTATACTAATATGAACTCTCTATTCATTTAGTAACCACTACTGAGTTTCTACTATATAAGCCTTCTGCCAAGCATTTATTAGGCACTCAAAATGCATACAATTTTAACAAAAAAATAACACAAATTCATACCTGGCTTATCACATTAAATACTTTAAACAAAACAGGAGAGTAGTGTTGAAGGCAGAGGTTGTGTTGGTAATAATGAGATTAACTTGTTTTTCTCTCTGTGTGTCTCTCTTCTTTTTATTCCATTCATTGTAAAATTTTGGGACTATTAGTTATTACATAAAGTTTGCAGTAGGCATCCTTCTCATTTTAAGAAACAGGCCTTGATGCTTAGGATAATTTTTTTTAATGATTGAATCAGAAGCAAAATCTAAATCTGTTTGATTCTGATTTTCCTTAAGAGATACAGTTTTGAACATGAGCCTTGATGAATACTCTAGCTGTGGATTTACCCTCTCCTTTTTGTACTGGAGTAAGGTAGTAATTGAATAGAGGCAAAGCATTAGAGGTAATCAGAGGGATCAATGTGTCATTGTACAAAGGAAAAGAGATGTAATTGATAGTAAGATTGGGTTAGGTCACTTTCCTCATTTAATCTAAGGCACCTTGTGTTTTATGGCTGTAGAGTTTCATTAGTGTTATCATCATCATGATCATCACTTTACTTCCTTTGCCTCAGTATATGTATTAATAAAATGAAAATGACATATCTTGTTTACATACTTCTGTGTGTGTGTGTGTGTGTGTGTGTGTGTGTGTGTGTGTACAGAACAAGGAAGATGGGTTTTATATTTAATGCATTCCATTGTGGCTTGCATAGGATCATAAATACTCTATTAATGAGAGGAAAAGTAATTTTGTCCCCATCTAGAAATCAAAAATAAAGTGTGAATTGGGCATCCTGAGGAGACAACATCTATGTCACTGTGAAATCTATCTTCTCTCCTTGACCTAAAGAGAATAAGAAAATACTAAATTAGGAAAAATGAAAAACCAAACTAACTCACCAAAAGAATAAGGGGAAAATAATTTTGTATGGGAATATGCTGTAAGTAATCTTCTGTCATTAATTCTGTGAGTTAACTTAAGGTTGTTTTATGTAATTTAAATGAGCTAATGGTAGATAAAATGTGCATTGTACTCTATATAAGAATAACTATAGCATGAACTGTACATTATAATTTCAGAACTGAATTAAATTCACAGCCTACTATGGATGCCCTTGATTTAAACTGGGGTTACATTCTAATAAGCTCATCGTAAATTGAAAACATTGTAAGTCAAAACGCATGTAATATGCCTAACCTACTGAACATTATAGCTTAGCCTAGCCTACCTTAAATGTGCTCAAAACACACTAGCATACAGTTGGGCAAAATCTTCTAACACAAACCTTATTTTATAATACAGTGTGGAATATCTAATGCAATGAAAATGAAAAACCAAAGGGTTGTATGGGTTCTTAAAGTATGGCTTCTCCTGAAAGTGTGTTGCTTTTGCACCATTGTGAAGTGGAATCTTAAGTGGCACCATCGTAATCTTGGACTGTCTATACTTGCTAGATTTTTATTTTTGGAAAAAATGTTATATTTTTGGGATCTATCTTATTAATTTAAAGTAGAGTACTAATTAATATTAATAGAATTTTCCACATCTGGTGATTTCAAAGATTCACTGAGAAAATATGTGAAGTACTTTTCATGGTGACTGAAATACAGCAAGTCATGAAAGCACGATAACCACCTCT